TAACAGAAGCTCCCATTCCAGCTTTTGCTTGACTGAGTAATGTCTGGGACTACACAGAAGCCAAGTTTTTCAATCCACAGAGCATGTTAAGAAGAATTTTGATGTAAAAATGACATTTTGTGCATTTTTGGTAGATTGTATTTTAATTTAATAGGAGAGTTTAATGTGTTAATTAAAAAACAAACACACACAAAACCAAAGCCCAAACCGACAACATCATAGCAAGTTGCCTCAGTGATTTTCCTGTCATGATCTGTAACCTTATCTTCAGTGTAGTTCTGCATGAACATTATCTTACGTTTGCTGGTTTTATCATCTGCTGTCTTTAGTGTTTATGATAGGCTCCAACTAAATGCAATTGATGTGGAATTCTTAGAATCACAATTTCAATGCTAATTCTTTTGCAGCAGAAGAAACTTCAGCTGCTGTATGAAGAGCTGTCTCAGCCTGTTGTTCTCTGTCTTTTGTCACTGTCACTGTTTTGGAATTGTGCAATAATGCCTTGTCCCTTCCCAGCTACTCTGACATTTGGTAGACAGTGTCTGTTCATATAAAACAAACCTGTGGGGCAGGGATTTCCTGAATGATGCTACTGGAAACCAAATCACTTCTTTTTATTTTATATCCGAGAAAGTAGATTTGATGTCATTGTGTATTTGGACTTCCATCTGGGATATGATTAGGAATATGCGTAGCCCAAATTTCTGCAATATCTTCTCAAGGGATCTTGGTTAGTATCTTGGCTATCTAGATGTATTTCTACCAGTACAGAAATTTTCTGAACATTTATAATCATTTGACTTCCTAGATTAATTTAATGGTAAAATCACTCTGTCCCCTGTAGTAACTGTGGCTTTCCTCCTTCTTCCTCTGTACTTAATCTGCTTCTTTGTGGAATGTTCTTGGTAGGAAAAGAAAGGAAAGGAGAAAAGAAAAGGAGGAAAGCACAAATTCTCAACAATGAACTGAACTACGAGTTGCTGAGGTTGAAGCTCTTCACTTTGGAGCCATTCTTGGTTAGCACCTCAAGGCATGTTGGTATCTTAGCACACTGTATCCTCCATTGTGTGTTATCACTTGCATCATTTCACAAAAACTGGGAGTAGCGGTGATCTTTCTCCAAGGCCTTCTTGTTTGAAGCAATGAAAGCTTTTTCCCCTCAGGAAATCCAGTATGATTTTATTTATTTATTTATTTACATGCTGTACCTCACATCATGCAAATAACTTTTAGCAATATTATTCTAACACTGGAAGGAGACAAAGAAAGGGCTTATATTATTTTATAGGCTACCAGAGAAAAGGTTGTCTTTAAAAATATATCTGCCTTTTGCACATGCTTTCTGACAGCCATACGGCTCGAAGACTAGCATGTGACAAGGGGAAATCAATAAAAAATGTATGATGATATTATAAATATTTATAGAATAGCTGGCTGAGTATAATGTGATAGGGAGAAGCCAAGGAGGCTTTCAGAATAGCAAATGTGTGCTCCAAAATATATTGGAATTCTTCCGAGTGAGTTAAAATGGGTAAAAAGGCATTGCATAGGCTGTCAGAGGCATTCACAACACCTTTGATTCAAGTCCTCTCTCTAAGCAGCCACAAGGAAAACTATGTCAGAGAAGCGCAGCTGAAGAAAAGTTGGGAAGCAGAGAAGGGCAAAAGATTCTGGAGTTAGGTTATTCCCTGCTGGTCCCAGTAGGGACTTGTAGGGAGTGTTGATGGATTGATTAGCAACCTAGGAAAGTAAGGAAGTGGTTCTTTGTGCATCCAACAGGATTAAAATGATCCAGCTTTTTTCAAAGACTGGGAATTTTCCAAGTCTGATAAAAGATTTGTTTAATTATATTTTTGCATCTAACTGGCTGTTGCTGTAGTTGTGCAAATGTTAATACAAATGTCTGTAAGTTACGCCTCTAAGACTGCAAGGTTTATAAGCAAAACAAGCTGGGGAACAAATTTGGTTCCATAAATGCAAATAAACATTTCCTGTAGTCATCCTTCTGTCCTCCTGTCCTGTAGAAACTGGGTCCTACCACATGACTTACTCATCTGCAAGAGGACTTGTATTGGGAGATTTGGCGCCATTCATTCTCTGTGTTGATGTGAACATCAAGAATAAGCTGGAGGTTTTATTTGGAGGAATTAATTCTTTTCTGCTTGTGCTGCAGATGGCTGAATTTGCTCAGTCTGCAAAAGCTAGGAGAAAAGTACATAAGGAAAGAGAGAATTATACTGAAAATGGAAGAAACTATGCAAGAGACCATCTTGTTCCTCTTTTAACAACAGACCAAAAAAAGCTTCTTTAGTGGAGATACCCATAACTGGGGACAGGTTATTTTTGCTCCTGATTTCTTGCTTTCACAATTCTCTTTCCCATTAGTCCGACCAGAGCACAATTTTGTTAATGGTTGGGTCAGGGTGCTAATTATCTTTGTGAAAAATGGATGGGCAGACAGTCCAGGAGATAGATGCTTCCCAATTTGTTAAGGGCTTTTAAAGATAAATGGCCTTGAAGTAGATTTGTTTTCAAATGAATAGCCAGTAGAGTGCTTGGAGCTGTGGCACAGTGAGCTCTCATCAGTTTTTCTCAGAGTGATGTATGTTGCATATTCTGTCTATTGACGTGGTCTTTGCCATCAGAAGTCCCAATTTATTAAGAGTTTTTAGGGCAGTGGTTGTAAATTATTGCAGCCCAATTTTATTACTGTTTCACATCTACCAAGGACCGAGCCCTTTGTGCAGCTTTATATAAACTCAGCGAACACCATTAATATATTGACATTTAGGCTCATTTTGGTAGCATTAATCAGAACATGTTATCATGCATTAATTGCAGTGGTTTGAAGTGACTGGAACATTCACTTTGCTAAAAGCAGGGGAAACAATAATTTCCATTTCTCTACTTTTTCAAACCGGAGCTGTGCTTAAAAAAACCATCCCAAACCCAACCCATAACATACAAGCCCCCCCTCCTAATTGTGTGTGCTGGGAGCATCTGCCTCTACTTCTCTGCAACAGCTGAACAAGAACTAGTAGCTCTTACAGGCCTTACTGGAAACTGCTGGAAGTGTAGTCTTTGAAAATCAGCCTCTAAAGTCTCTGTGTGGACACACACAGCCAGGCCTTGGCTTCAGAAACGTGTCTTAATATGTAACAAGAATCCTCCTGGTGTGCAAAAAAACCCCTAAAAATCTACTGTGTTTTCATATGCTGATATGGCTGAAGGGTTTCAAATGCACTGAAATGCCATTTGTGATCCACCAGCAGGAATAGGTTTCCAACACCTGTGTCTGTGTTACTGTATCAGTAAAAGAAACATGTTTCCTGGCTCTCTTCAGTGGAGGGCACCACTGGATGATTATATTTAATGTAAGGAGTTGGCAGCCTTTCTCGCTTAACCATCATTAGGAGATCTGCTGCTGAGGTCCCATTTTGTGAGGCAGCTGGAAATTGACGCTTAGTTTGAATGTATTGTTTTCTACCTTTCTCTTAAAGTTCAAGGACAAGGCAAAGCAGCTCAGACTATGCAAAGAATAAGGCTTTGCTCACTTTTCATTCTTTTCTTGGTCCTTTGACCTCTTAGTCCTTTTCTAAATAAATTTATTCCCTAAGTAAAAGTATTCCCGTATATAGACACAAATAGAAGTGTGGACCATGTCAGCAAAGATGCAGGTGGAAGACATGAGGGGAAAGGTATTTGAAAGCATCACACAGAATACAGCTGTGATAAGCATGTAGACTTTTTACTGGAGTAAAAATTACCTGTCTTCAGTAGTGTTTCTTTTAATACTTGAAAAGGAGGACAAGACTGTTATTTCTGTTCTAGGCAACTGAGGCATGGAATGGAGTCCCTTAAATCACTCGAAAGGCAAGATGCAGAATAGTGGTGTCCCAGCCTTCTGAGCCTGCATTTCATTCGTTACTTTAAATATTGTACCCTCCTTACTCCCACTCTAAGATGTTCCTGCGCCTTCTGGACTTCTGCCACCTGGTTCCTCTTGTAATGTTGTATGGCTTAAAACACAGCCTTACCTCTAACTTTCTGCTGCACTGGATCTGCACAGAAGTCTAAAAGACTTTCTTGTGATAGAGGTTTTCTCTTTTCAGTTACAGTGGCTTCACATGACCAAATAATACTTCATTAACCTGATGGCCTAAGGATATAAAGCTCCAGGGGGAACTTGTATTCCTCTATCATTGGCAAGATAATTAGGAAGTGGAATAATGTAAATCTCACCCCAGGCAACTGCCTTGAGATTTAAGTTTTTATTCTGAAGCCAAAGTGGTTGTGTCATAAATCCTTTTATATTTGGGCTTTTATGTTTTTAAGTTTATTGTTGACCTTCACAGTGAACATATTGCTAGAGCAGGAGGCGTTAGGAGCCCAATTAAGTTGAGCTGGTAAACCCACTGAGGTTTTTAGTCCGCAGTGACACAGGCTTAAGTTTGCTTTAACTAGCTTTGATTTTAAGCTCCTTGGGCATGGTTTTTCTTTCTGTATGTGTAAAGTATCTATGAGAGTGTGTCTACCACAGAGCTTCTACATGAGATGAAAACATAGGCATGAAAGCTACTGGTGGCAGAAAGAGTTCTGCATCAATCAGGAGAGTGGAATATTGGACTTTGAGACAGCTTCATATTGAGTCAGCTACAGCCTTCCCAGTTAATAGAGGCCAGGGGGAAGCTCATATCAGTAAACGCTGCATCCAGGCGGCAGCAGCAAGCAGGAGATTAAATGCGAGAGCTGTATGAGTGTGGTGTCCTGTTGAGGATGGCCTTCTGTGAGTAAAAGTCACTTAGAAATTAAAAGTTTAGCAGAACTCTACCAAGTAAAAGGTGTCTAATGAAGTTTGGCAGCTTTTCTCTCTGAAAAAGAAGCAAGGAAATTAGTGGGGTTGCTCTGAGGTGCTTGGACTAAAAATTAATATGGCAAAAGCAAAATGAAGGGGAAAAAATCAATATTCTTGCTAATAAGAACCAACATTTATTTTACAGGAAACCTGAAGTTTTGCCTTCTGATTCTGAACCAGCCTTTCAACAAAGGTCATTTTCATTGTCTGTGGAGCAGAGGTAATAATAACTTGCATACATCTTCATTTGCTTATTTACTTAGCTGCTACCCAGCTAATGTACTTCATGTCTCTTGAATTGCAATGTGGCAATTTCCTCTAAACTAGAGCAGCCTTCTGGTGCGGGTGTGAATCGGCAGAATATGTCCCTTGCTGCAGGATGCAGCAAATGAGCTGATTATGCAAATTCTGCATCTCTGCATTGCTTACGTCAGTAAGATCTTTATGGACTGAGCTGGGTAAGACTAGCTTTTCAGAGGCATCTTAGGAAAGATCATTGTTTTGCTGACAAAGTATAGTAGATCAGTGGTGCATTTAAAGAGTCTGGAAGTGAAAGTTCCTTTAAAGGTCATCAGTGAAATGTGTTCATTTTCATCAAAATAAAATGAACTGTGTAGATACTATGTTGTAAAAGCAGTGGGAATTTGTGTGCGTGTCAGAAATATGAACATCAGATTTCACTACCCCTTTGTTTAATAAGCACAGTGCTAATCATCGTCTCTGCTATGATAACTGACGTTTTGTAGAGATATGTAAATCTTCATAAGCTTGGAGCTATTAATTCCTCCAGTGCAGAAATGTAGTCCTGCAGAAGCTTACTGACAAACCACAGGAACCATCCCTAACTTGTTATCAGGCTGGGAACCTTGCGGAGAAGAGAAATTCCTCCTGACTGGGGCAGATAGAGCTATTTGATTTCACCATAAGCATAAGGGCTGGCAGGAGGTAGCTGTATGGGGAAAAGCAATTGGAGCAAGGGATAAAGCAGGCAGGATGTGTTATAGCACCTAATTCCAGTAAACCTAAATTACATGCCTATATAGGCAGACAAGGAGAAAAGGAGACACTTGCATGGGATGAAGCAACGCATCTGAACGAGTGCTGTACCCCTGATAGGCTCTTTCAATATCATCAAGAACTGCTCAGTGGAAGGGCTGTTAAGTCTCTAAACATGTTTCTACGTATTTTTTTATTTACAGTATGTCTTTCAGTGTATCCTTTTGTATTAAATAATGAAGGGGAGAAAGGTAGTTATTTTGGTCTCATTTCTTTGTCCACCTTTCCTGTGTTTTTAAGGTTGAGGTTAAAAAAGAGGCAGCAAACCAGAGGTTCACAGTTACTGAATGGCAGTATTTAGTGTCTTGTAGTACTCTGCATGTGTTAATCATACTTTTTTGTCTATTCAGTGGAATTTTAAGTCTTCCTTTTGCAATTAAACATGGGCAGGGTGACCTTTGGAGTATGGAGTGTGAATCCAGGACATTGTTTTGGCAATGCCTGACAGACAATGCTAGTGGAGTACTGTAGGTGTCAGTAGTCTTGTTCCCCCTGGCTCCTGCTTCTGAAGGAGTGGCAGCAGAGACTTGCAGGACTAGGAGAACCTGGGGGTTTTGGTATGTGAGCTGAAGGAAGTTCTGAAAGAATGAAACATATTTAGAAATAGTACTTGATGACCAGCCTGTGTATGCTTGAAATCTCACAAAGGAGTGTGAGAAGAAAACAGTGGGGCTGTTGATCATCACAGAATATTGCCAGCTACGCAGACTGGGGGGAAAATGGAGTGAAAATGCAGAGGAAAAAAGGAAGATAAAATATTGTCTGACTTCTCTAAGTTACAGCAGTGTTGGATGTTACTGAGTACAGAATGCTGAGACATAAGTGTTATTTTTCAAGTAGGTTTTGTCCTATCAAAATAACTTCTTTCATTAGCCCTGTCACTTTAGTGTCAAGTAAAACTGAAGGTGAGATGTGATATGTTCTGAGTTTAAGAAACCTCATGATATTGATAAGCATGGCTATTCTAGGCTAAAATCATCCCAGGTGTAACTGCTCTTGACCTCAGGAAGAAGCGATTGCAGTTAATTAGCCTTTGTCTTATTACAGACTTGTATGAAATCTATTTTTACTGACATACTTCTAGAGCAACTGTTTCAGTCTGTACAAGTTTGTATGAACTTCCTTCCTGTGCTTTGTGAAGGACAGTGAAATCTGGTTTCCTCACTTCCAGGGACAGCTTTTACCACTCCTGGCATACAAGGTGGATAAGTGACAATAGTGAAGTAGTATAAACTAAACACTATCATGATTCTAGCCTATTATATTCATTCTTGCAGTGAACCAATCTAGAACATGTTATGTTTGTGTAAGATAGAGTAATACAATATTAGTGCTGTCCTAAAGGCTGGATAGATGAATGCTGAGGAAGGGATAGTTTGCAGAAGTGGAATGAAGAATATTATGGCAGAAGTCACTGGTAGATCACTGAGGGGTTTATTTGGTATAGTGAGGAGGGGACAAACCAAATGATGAGAAATTGAAGAGAACAGGTAAGGGAAAAAGGTCTCATAGTAAGTGGAGCTGATATAAGGAGGCTGTGGGAAGGTAAGGTGAATGCAGAAGGTTGAGAATACACTGTGGATAAACACAAATTTGGGAACACTGGTCAAATCCATCAAAACTGCTTGACTATCTGTTAATGCAGCTATTTTTATGAGTGAAAGTTGTACAGCTTCCCTTTCAGCTTGTCCTAACAGTGGAAAATATCTTGAAGAGACAGGACTCAGCCTTTCTCAGAGCTGCATGTTTCTGTGCCCAGGAGGTTCCTATAAGGAAGACTGGATCCAGGGGAGCCTTACCTTAATAACCCTGTGTCACATCCTAAATTCCTGCTTGTACTTCAGCATGTTTCTAGCTACTGTTCTGAATCCTTGTTTAACAGAAAAATTGGTAGGGAAAAAATCCAGTTTACATTAATCTCTAGGACTACTTCACAAGTGGTTTCAGATGTAAATGTGTACCAAACGGGAAGGACTGTGGGTTGAAAGTCTGAAGCTGTCTCAGAGATTCCATTTGGAAAGCACAGAGGCCCAGGTTTTAGTGGCTGAAAACAGAAGGGGTTGTCTGGAGAATAAATGCAAGTTCCAGAGATTTCGATTCAGCTCGTTAAAATCTCTTTAATCAGAAATTCAATTACTTATTTATGCCAAGAATTTCAGCAGTGTCTAGCGATCACAAGTGCTTCTGTTTATTTGATGTCTCTCTAGTGAAGTACCAGGAAAGGGGCAGAATTGTTGCAGTGCTAAGAAATCGCCTCTGTGAAATTGCCTCAAGTTCAGGATCTGATGTTGTTTCTTGCTTCTGAAAACATTGCACCTACAAGCTATATTACTCATATGATCCAGAATTGTCTTCATGGCCTCGCTTCATTGTAGCATGCTAAATAACTGTGCATTGAAGATTACTTTCCATTCTTAAATGTTGACAGTGACAGCTATGAAGAGCAAGAAGTTATGCTCTGAAAAATTAGGCTATTTCAAGAATCAGAATAAAATAGCAACATGCTGTAGAGTTCCCATCGATGCTGCATTTCTGGAATGGCAGGTTTGGTGTTGAATAGTGCCTTTGAATTTGCTCATTTAGAAAGACATTACAATAGTTCTTTTTTCCCCTTTAGGTTCCACCACACCTCTGTCTGGTTCTTGTATCTGTGGGTTTACTGGTTAATGCAGTTGCAGATTTAAAGTACTGGTTAATGCAATTCTTCTTGGAAAACTAGAGGAAAACTATTACACTTCTTTGAATATCAGCCATTAGTGCCAAAAAATGTCCTTGGCTGATATACCAGAATAAACTACCAGCATTCTTTTGGAACGGACTTACTGAATCTGACTTGTGGGATATGTTTTTAATGTTGGACAAGCAGATGGGAAGGAGTTGTCTATGAGACCAGGCTGCAAAAATGTCTGTCCTTCAGGAGTACTTCCCTAACTGGTTTCTTTCATGGACCTTTCTTTTCAGTGAAGGAATTTGGGGTCTAGAAATGTCTCATTATGCTGCCCTACCAGCCACTTCTCTGGATGTGCACAGTGTGTGGGTATTTTCTGATGAATGTGGGGGACCTCCAGAAAGAAGGAAGTTGTTCACCCTGGAGATTTCAGCCTGTATTTGGGGGGGGGGTGGGTTGTTTCTATGTACTGAGACAGCAGGAAGCATATTTCTACCACAGCAGTGTAATAACTCAAATCCAAACTGTGCTAGATTGTCTTCATGTAAACAGGATTTTCTTACACTGTATCTCTTGCGATTGCATATCCATAAATCGAGTACTTTCAAGTTTCCATCTCTATCAATACTCATTTTACAACAGTCAAAGTGGCTATTGGATTTTAAATAGTATTTTAAATGGGAGGCAGCTTTACTTTCAAGGTCAGCCTACATTTTTGGTGAAAACGCCTCTAGTGAATGGATTGTGAACACTTGGAGATGACTGCCAGTTACGAAGTGCCTCCTGAGTAATCAAGTAAGCAAAGTTGCTAACTTGTATCATGAATTTCAGAGTTACCTGTCTTTGGATGCCATATACTGCCATGCATTTTATGTTCCATATGCTTTTGTGTGCAATATAACTGGTAATTGATATGTTGAATGTCTTCTGTTGAGGTCCAAGAGCTGTTTGTAAAGGTAAACAAGATATAAATAGAAGTGGTGCTGTGAAGCTCAGGTATATATACTGAGGTGGAGATAACAGATTAGTTGGAGCAGTTTGAATGTCTCGGCAGAGAAGTAGCTTAATAACAGGAGGGGAATAACCTCACTTTCCCTGTTGCTTTTTTTTCCATTCCATGATTGATACCTTGTCCTCCCTTGTCTTCATCTATGCTTCTGGAGTTACTTGTTTGTACAGCCATTCACTTACCTATCAACTCTTACCTATCAGCAATGAGCTTGCTGTGTTGGCATATGGTGTGCTTTTTTTCTCACCTTTTATTTTCATTTCTAGCTGAACTTGCTTGTAATATATCTCAAATTTGTACTAGGCCCAGAATTGGCAGCTGGCATAAAACCTGAGTGAATTTAGAGCAGCTACTATTAATAAATAGGAAAATGTTCATAAAAATGGTGATTGGGATGTCGCATGGACTTGCATGCTTTATTGCGCTTCCCAGTAGGCATCCAGACTAGCAGTAACTCTTACTGCTGGCCTCAGCTAAACTGCTCTGT